AAATATTTTGTAACATTATGTCTTTACCGTCGCTTTTGATCAATTTAATGTATCCTTGCTAAATAAAAGTATTAATTACTTTAAAAAAATGACCTCAAACTTCTGAACGGTAGTCTATGTATTATTTGGTAGAGTTTTCTAGAGCAATCCGTGTCTGGTTTTTACATAGCCTATATTTGTGTTTTGGTGTAGTGTGCGCAGGCATTGCTGGCTGAGCTGGAGGCTGCGGTGGACAGACACACACATGCTGGACTGCTGGAGGCGGCTGCTCGTTCTTACCAGAGCCTCTGTGCTCAGGATTTGCCCTGGCACTCTCTGGCCCGGCCCAGCTTTGACCGGTTCATCAAGCACTGGACAGACACACTGGAAACACGGTTAGGAGAATCACTGAGTGTGAGTACAGTAATGGATCACTAAAAACTCTAGATGTTCTTTTACAAGCTTGTACCAGATACATACATGCATTTTAAATGGATCTTGACATCAATAAAGAATAAGTTGATTCATGACAGATTTATGACTGTATCTTTTACACAGCAGAATGGACTCTAATTAAAGGTTCTTCCTTTCATGTACAGGATGGTTGTTTCACTGCAAACGAGGACAGCACTTTGGAAATTCTGTCCACACTGAAGAAACTTAATGCTTTCAATATGTAAGCAGTTTCTAGTTTATTCTATCCACATACACTCTGCAGTATTTGCGATAAGCACATTTCTCTGACCAATTTAATTATCAATCTGTGTTTTACATCCCTGCTGACAAAGCTATGTTTTAAGAATGTTTTCCTAACATTCTTATTACATTGTAAATAAAGAAGCTACTTCTGAAAGTTCTACAAACATTCAAAAAGTAATTATTTTTATACTTTAAGAACATTTTACTTTGGTTATATGAACATTCTGGAAATGTTACCAAGATACTGAGATTCTCAGATGCTTTTAATTACATTATTAACAACTACTTCTTAATGTGTCTTAATTTTGTCTGATGCCATTCTAATGTAATATTCTTATTTTATTTGTGCTTTATCAAATCTGTCTAGTGCTCAGGATCTGTCTAAATGGAGCCTTTATGAGCTGGGGACCAGACTCCTGGATGTGGAGATAAAACATGCTGGTCTTCCCATGGAGGTAACATTATTAGACTTGTACCAAACCCTCTACTCCTTTATTCCTTCAACAGGATTTGTTTCTCTAATCTGTATTTCTTGTAGGTGACAATTGAGGCTCTGCGCTGCATGTGTAGCTGCATCCTTTGGAAGCTCAACACCTTTGGAGAAGGTTTGACCTCCAGGGTGAGCCATCTACCTTTCTCTTCCACTCTGATTGCGACTGCTGTCATAAATGGCTGAGATCATGCTTAGAATGGTAATATCTACAAGCACAGACGTAAGGCCAGAGTTTTCCCTTGGGTGATTAATTAAACGTTTTTAGGCATGCAAGACTCTCTGTCTACAGAGGTGCCATATGATCCATCACAAAGAGCTGTGTCCTTTAAACCTGCCACATTGCATTTCAAATATCAACACAGAGACTCTAGGGTTATGTCCAGCGGATTTTAATAAGTGATAGAAAGCGATTGATCGTGAATCTTCAGGAAAAGTCAGTGCTGGTGATGGATTGTAGGGGGCTTAATGGTTGCGCTCTCGTGTGGACGGTTCACCGCTAATAGCTGGGCTTCTTATTAGGCCTGTGTTTCCATGCAGTGCACGGGGTAATCATATCTCCCCACCTCTAACCTTTATGCGGTGAAATATTGGTGGCCATTAAGACTGCTGTAGGTAAGATTCGCTCAGTGCTGGCTCAGAAATGGCCGCTTTCTCCTCTGGCCTCGTCATCAATAACTGACAGCGCAGGCGGCAATTTTTGGGCCAGGCGGCAACTCGGCTCAATCTGCAATTCTAATGTCAATGGCGACCCGAGGTGAGGGGGAAAAAAGACGTGTTCAGCATAAAATTGGGATGTATGTCCGATTCAAAAGAGTCATTTAGCTGAATTGACATTGCGACTATGTGGGATGGAGGAACCGATCCGACACATCCTGCCCGGAGCTCCACGTGCACATAATTATAAAAGAATATTTTACACAAGAGACTGTGTACACTGCTCACAATAACACTTTCATCAGTCTACAACAGTTGGAGCCCTGCTGTAGTCATCTTTCTGTTTCTGTAATTTTGCGTAATTATACGCTCTTCATTCCTGTCACTCAAAACTCGTATGACTTTTCCCCCAAATGTCAAAGCTTTGTATATGGTCATATGCATGCATAATAATTAAATAAAATGAGCAAAATACTAACAACTACAAGTGTATTATAAATCAAAAGCTGTGTAAGAAAAGAATTGTCATTGTTATTTATGTGAGTGTTTGTGTGTGGTTTTAGGAGTCCGCCCTCCAGCAGAGAAACCAGCTACGTGCCTTCTGTGAGAAATGTCACCGCTGTCTCTCACACGCTGAGCAGCTTGTACGAGAGCAAGTGAGCATCACGTCTCTCTCTCTGTTCACAGCATACCACTCGATTCAGCCCTTTCTTCAAAGGGGATTATTCCAAACACATCAGAGCGTATTGTCTGTACGTTAAGCTGTAGCATGTGTGCCAGTGGGCCGATGCGCTGGCTTTGTTTTGAATCCTGTTTGTTTTGAATTTTCTTGTGGAGTGCCCTTGGCACCTGCGTTGTGATTTAATGAATCCTCGCTCCATGCCAGGGCACGGTGACAGCAGAAACACACTAATTGTAACTAAAACAAAATGAAAGTTCTGGACTATCTCTGTTTATTTTTGAATTGTCTGTGTTCTTAGTGAATTGATTCCATATATTTTTAGAGCTGTTAATTTATTTGCATCAATTATGTCAATAAATCAATCAAATTAATGACAAAGCAGCCCGGAAATAATTCACAGACATTAGATTACCGTAGCAGATGAGTAAAGCACTGAATTTTAATAATTTGAATCTTTTAGCTGTTGCTTTGCATCTTTCTGTTTTTTTTTAGCATCTTCAGCCATGAGTGCTTGATTAATAGTTTATTTCAGTATTTCTTATATAATTAATTACACTAAAATTTTTGTGATATATTGGAAACACAACAGTATACGTTTTTTGAAATCCACAATAATTTAGTACATTGATACATTCTTTTGAAGAAAGATAATCAATTAGATTGATTAAGATTACAGTGTATTTTAGGTAAGAATTTCTTGTTATATTGTCTCCTTTATATCAAACAGGCACTGTCTGTTTTGTTGTTTTTCACAAAGGCCTTCATGTGTCTGAGTGATGTTCTCATAGCTCATAATTACCAGCTTCAGATGTGGGATTCATCTGCAGGCACTCCATTGCTGTACACCCCTGATCCCAAGCTCCAGAAAGCTCTTCTTTCCTTCATCGTGGAGCATGTCTTCACCAGCCCAGAGCAGGACACCCACAGTAGTAAAGGTTCTCTTTTCTTTTCATTTACAGTAAATCTTAAGGGTCCTTGTTTGGCCTGTGCTCTGCTGTGGGCTGACACGTGGGCGGCCTCAACAGATCCAGCATTAGTTAA